TGCGGCACACCTCCAGGAAAAAATGTAAACATATATAATATACATACTCTATGTGAGATCAATAAAGTATTATCTTATCTTATAATATATATACTCTGTAGCCTATATTCACAATATACAGTTATTCTCATCAAAGTGCTTAAGCCCAGGCCTTGACATTAATCTTTATTTCATATTTCTCAATACAATGAGTTAACAAGAGTTTGGGAATAAAGTGGCACTAACTGTGTGGAAAAAAAAACAAAGAAAATCCACTCTGTCAAAATAGTCAAATAATAACTCAGGGGGCTCTTAAGTAAATAACATGCATTGTTAGTGCATGGGGAAAATGTAGGTATCCAAGCTTTAAATTCAGGAGTTTTGGATAAGGGACACCTCCTGAACACGAGTCCATGGTTCTGTCCGGTCCGCATGTCTATGGTTCTGTCCACACAACTGTGGTCTGCGCTCGGTACCCAGTTCAGAAGTGCGTTCGCATGAGCTGTTGTACAAAAATTGTACATTTCATAGTTAAACGACTACAACGCGGCCACAGCTGCCCCGGGGCAGAGCAGAGGATGTGAATCCTGTTCAGAAACGGCATAATTCATTTTCAAAAACGTCTCTATCACTTTCACTTGTCACTCGCCACAAAGCTCTTGTCTCGCTCCCTCCCACATTTGTTGGTCGCATCCAATTTTACCTTTCTCGCCACAATGCTCCCACTACCTGTTACGTCCAGTGGTTGCATCCAATGTTTCAGTTTCAAAGTACTTAGCAATCTGCTGCCATCTACTGATATGAAAAAGTATTACATGGTTACTCCACAGTTCAAAACAAGTCACCGCTCGCCAACAGCGAAATGCAGTTATTTTTAGACAAAGTAGATGAATTTTTCACGGCACACCAGACAATATCATACGGCACACTAGTGTGCCGCGGCACAGTGGTTGAAAAACACTGCTTTATATAACAGCAGTATGTGTTCACGGAGGTGACTTTATATAACAGCAGTATGTGTTCACGGAGGTGACTTTATATAACAGCAGTATGTGTTCACGGTGACTTTATATAACAGCAGTATGTATTCACGGAGGTGACTTTATATAACAGCAGTATGTGTTCACGGAGGTGACTTTATATAACAGCAGTATGTGTTCACAGAGGTGACTTTATATAACAGCAGTATGTGTTCACGGAGGTGACTTTATATAACAGCAGTATGTGTTCACGGAGGTGACTTTATATAACAGCAGTATGTGTTCATGGAGGTGACTTTATATAACAGTAGTATGTGTTCACGGAGGTGACTTTATATAACAGCAGTATGTGTTCACGGAGGTGACTTTATATAACAGCAGTATGTGTTCACGGAGGTGACTTTATATAACAGCAGTATGTGTTCACAGAGGTGACTTTATATAACAGCTGTATGTGTTCACGGAGGTGACTTTATATAACAGCAGTATGTGTTCATGGAGGTGACTTTATATAACAGCAGTATGTGTTCACGGAGGTGACTTTATATAACAGCAGTATGTGTTCATGGAGGTGACTTTATATAACAGCTGTATGTGTTCACGGAGGTGACTTTATATAACAGTAGTATGTGTTCATGGAGGTGACTTTATATAACAGCAGTATGTGTTCATGGAGGTGACTTTATATAACAGTAGTATGTGTTCACGGAGGTGACTTTATATCAGTGTATTTCAACCTTTTTTGATCCAAGGCACACTTTTTTCATTCAAAAAATCTTGCGGCACACCTCCAGGAAAAAATGTAAACATATATAATATACATACTCTATGTGAGATCAATAAAGTATTATCTTATCTTATAATATATATACTCTGTAGCCTATATTCACAATATACAGTTATTCTCATCAAAGTGCTTAAGCCCAGGCCTTGACATTAATCTTTATTTCATATTTCTCAATACAATGAGTTAACAAGAGTTTGGGAATAAAGTGGCACTAACTGTGTGGAAAAAAAAACAAAGAAAATCCACTCTGTCAAAATAGTCAAATAATAACTCAGGGGGCTCTTAAGTAAATAACATGCATTGTTAGTGCATGGGGAAAATGTAGGTATCCAAGCTTTAAATTCAGGAGTTTTGGATAAGGGACACCTCCTGAACACGAGTCCATGGTTCTGTCCGGTCCGCATGTCTATGGTTCTGTCCACACAACTGTGGTCTGCGCTCGGTACCCAGTTCAGAAGTGCGTTCGCATGAGCTGTTGTACAAAAAATTGTACATTTCATAGTTTAAACGACTACAACGCGGCCACAGCTGCCCCGGGGCAGAGCAGAGGATGTGAATCCTGTTCAGAAACGGCATAATTCATTTTCAAAAACGTCTCTATCACTTTCACTTGTCACTCGCCACAAAGCTCTTGTCTCGCTCCCTCCCACATTTGTTGGTCGCATCCAATTTTTACCTTTCTCGCCACAATGCTCCCACTACCTGTTACGTCCAGTGGTTGCATCCAATGTTTCAGTTTCAAAGTACTTAGCAATCTGCTGCCATCTACTGATATGAAAAAGTATTACATGGTTACTCCACAGTTCAAAACAAGTCACCGCTCGCCAACAGCGAAATGCAGTTATTTTTAGACAAAGTAGTATCACGTCCCTGCTGTGTGCCTGTACCTGTGTCTTCAGGCTCGCCGTACCGAGATAAGATCACCATAGCGATCCTCCAGCTGCAGGAGGAGGGGAAGCTGCACATGATGAAGGAGAAGTGGTGGCGAGGGAACGGCTGCCCGGAGGAGGAGAGCAAAGAGGCGAGCGCTCTGGGCGTCCAGAACATCGGCGGCATCTTCATCGTGCTCGCCGCCGGCCTCGTCCTGTCCGTGTTCGTGGCGGTGGGAGAAGTGCTCTACAAGTCCAAGCAGAACGCCCACATGGAGAAGGTAAACACGCTAGCTCTACAATGCTAACAAAGACTGTCTGCAGAGGTCGGCACCAGATCATACACGGAATCGGGACGAAACCGGAAGTAACGATCGTACTTTTGAATTCGTTTTAGACTAAAAAGTCCTTCAATAGTGACTGGTTAAGTTTTAGCTAGGTGTCTGAGTAAGATGGTTAAGGTTAGGCATAAATCTCTCTCTGGTTTCTCTCTGGTCTCTCTCTGGTCTCTCTCTGGTCTCTCTCTCTGGTCTCTCTCTGGTTTCTCTCTGGTCTCTCTCTGGTCTCTCTCTGGTCTCTCTCTCTGGTCTCTCTCTGGTCTCTCTCTGGTCTCTCTCTGGTCTCTCTCTGGTCTCTCTCTCTGGTCTCTCTCTGGTCTCTCTCTCTGGTCTCTCTCTGGTTTCTCTCTGGTCTCTCTCTGGTCTCTCTCTGGTCTCTCTCTCTGGTCTCTCTCTGGTCTCTCTCTGGTCTCTCTCTGGTCTCTCTCTCTGGTCTCTCTCTGGTTTCTCTCTGGTCTCTCTCTCTGGTCTCTCTCTGGTCTCTCTCTGGTCTCTCTCTGGTCTCTCTCTCTGGTCTCTCTCTCTGGTCTCTCTCTGGTCTCTCTCTCTCTGGTCTCTCTCTCTGGTCTCTCTCTGGTCTCTCTCTCTCTGGTCTCTCTCTGGTCTCTCTCTGGTCTCTCTCTGGTCTCTCTCTCTGGTCTCTCTCTCTGGTCTCTCTCTGGTTTCTCTCTGGTCTCTCTCTGGTCTCTCTCTGGTCTCTCTCTCTGGTCTCTCTCTGGTCTCTCTCTGGTCTCTCTCTGGTCTCTCTCTGGTCTCTCTCTCTGGTCTCTCTCTCTGGTCTCTCTCTGGTTTCTCTCTGGTCTCTCTCTGGTCTCTCTCTGGTCTCTCTCTCTGGTCTCTCTCTGGTCTCTCTCTGGTCTCTCTCTCTGGTCTCTCTCTGGTTTCTCTCTGGTCTCTCTCTGGTCTCTCTCTGGTCTCTCTCTGGTCTCTCTCTGGTCTCTCTCTCTGGTCTCTCTCTGGTCTCTCTCTGGTCTCTCTCTGGTCTCTCTCTGGTCTCTCTCTGGTCTCTCTCTCTGGTCTCTCTCTGGTCTCTCTCTGGTCTCTCTCTGGTCTCTCTCTCTGGTCTCTCTCTGGTTTCTCTCTGGTCTCTCTCTCTGGTCTCTCTCTGGTCTCTCTCTGGTCTCTCTCTGGTCTCTCTCTCTGGTCTCTCTCTCTGGTCTCTCTCTGGTCTCTCTCTCTCTGGTCTCTCTCTCTGGTCTCTCTCTGGTCTCTCTCTGGTCTCTCTCTGGTCTCTCTCTCTGGTCTCTCTCTGGTCTCTCTCTCTCTGGTCTCTCTCTCTGGTCTCTCTCTGGTCTCTCTCTCTCTGGTCTCTCTCTCTGGTCTCTCTCTGGTCTCTCTCTGGTCTCTCTCTCTGGTCTCTCTCTCTGGTCTCTCTCTGGTCTCTCTTTGGTCTCTCTCTCTCTGGTCTCTCTCTGGTCTCTCTCTCTGGTCTCTCTCTGGTCTCTCTCTGGTCTCTCTCTCTGGTCTCTCTCTCTGGTCTCTCTCTGGTCTCTCTTTGGTCTCTCTCTCTCTGCTCTCTCTCTCTGGTCTCTCTCTCTGGTCTCTCTCTGGTCTCTCTCTCTCTGGTCTCTCTCTCTGGTCTCTCTCTGGTCTCTCTCTGGTCTCTCTCTCTGGTCTCTCTCTGGTCTCTCTCTCTCTGGTCTCTCTCTCTGGTCTCTCTCTGGTCTCTCTCTCTCTGGTCTCTCTCTCTGGTCTCTCTCTGGTCTCTCTCTGGTCTCTCTCTCTGGTCTCTCTCTCTGGTCTCTCTCTGGTCTCTCTTTGGTCTCTCTCTCTCTGGTCTCTCTCTGGTCTCTCTCTCTGGTCTCTCTCTGGTCTCTCTCTGGTCTCTCTCTCTGGTCTCTCTCTCTGGTCTCTCTCTGGTCTCTCTTTGGTCTCTCTCTCTCTGGTCTCTCTCTCTGGTCTCTCTCTCTGGTCTCTCTCTCTGGTCTCTCTCTCCCTTCCTCCTCCAGCTTCATTTGAATAAACATATATGATATCTCTCTGCACGGCTCCATCTGTAACCGCGGCGACCGCTAATTACCGGACTCCTGTTGATCACTTCTTTAATTATTGACGTGCGACAGAATGAGCTCAGTGCGGAAGTGTGCGAGCCGCGGCGACCGTAACGAGCCCCGGTGCTGTTCTCGTAGCAGGACCTCCGCTTTCGGATTCTAATTTGATGCCAGGATTAATCACAAGACGAGGCCACAGCTTCTGATGGAGTCACTTACAATCAGACAAATTAGCATACGTCGCTCTCAGACACATTAGCATACGTCGCTCTCAGACACATTAGCATACGTCGCTCTCACACCTGAAGTGGAGAGATAGAAGGCTGAAGTTTATTGGAGCGGAGTCGTGTTTCTTTAGTCTAAATGAAAGTTTATTCCGTGTTAATCTGTGACTCTTGGTCCTTCAATAGGAGGATCTTTGTTTACACCCCCGTGCGCATTCGCCCTTCGCACGGTTGGCCCATACTTATGCATGGATTCGAGAGTACTTTTAAAAGACTTAGTGGGCGAACAGCACTGTATATAAGCACTTTAACAATAGCACTGTATATAAGCACTTTAACAACAGCACTGTATATAAGCACTTTAACAATAGCACTGTATATAAGCTCTTTAACAATAGCACTGTATATAAGCACTTTAACAATAGCACTGTATATAAGCACTTTAACAATAGCCCTTTATATAAGCACTTTAACAATAGCACTGTATATAAGCACTTTAACAACAGCACTGTATATAAGCACTTTAACAATAGCACTGTATATAAGCACTTTAACAACAGCACTGTATATAAGCACTTTAACAACAGCACTGTATATAAGCACTTTAACAATAGCACTGTATATAAGCACTTTAACAATAGCACTGTATATAAGCACTTTAACAATAGCACTGTATATAAGCACTTTAACAACAGCACTGTATATAAGCACTTTAACAACGGCACTGTATATAAGCACTTTAACAACAGCACTGTATATAAGCACTTTAACAATAGCACTGTATATAAGCACTTTAACGATAGCACTGTATATAAGCACTTTAACAACAGCACTGTATATAAGCACTTTAACAATAGCACTGTATATAAGCACTTTAACAACAGCACTGTATATAAGCACTTTAACAACAGCACTGTATATAAGCACTTTAACAATAGCACTGTATATAAGCACTTTAACAATAGCACTGTATATAAGCACTTTAACAACAGCACTGTATATAAGCACTTTAACAACAGCACTGTATATAAGCACTTTAACAATAGCACTGTATATAAGCACTTTAACAATAGCACTGTATATAAGCACTTTAACAACAGCACTGTATATAAGCACTTTAACAACGGCACTGTATATAAGCACTTTAACAACAGCACTGTATATAAGCACTTTAACAATAGCACTGTATATAAGCACTTTAACGATAGCACTGTATATAAGCACTTTAACAACAGCACTGTATACAAGCACTTTAACAATAGCACTGTATATAAGCACTTTAACAATAGCACTGTATATAAGCACTTTAACAACAGCACTGTATATAAGCACTTTAACAACAGCACTGTATATAAGCACTTTAACAATAGCACTGTATATAAGCACTTTAACGATAGCACTGTATATAAGCACTTTAACAATAGCACTGTATATAAGCACTTTAACAACAGCACTGTATATAAGCACTTTAACAATAGCACTGTATATAAGCACTTTAACGATAGCACTGTATATAAGCACTTTAACAATAGCACTGTATATAAGCACTTTAACAATAGCACTGTATATAAGCTCTTTAACAATAGCACTGTATATAAGCACTTTAACAACAACACTGTATATAAGCACTTTAACAACAACACTGTATATAAGCACTTTAACGATAGCACTGTATATAAGCACTTTAACAATAGCACTGTATATAAGCACTTTAACGATAGCACTGTATATAAGCACTTTAACAATAGCACTGTATATAAGCACTTTAACAACAGCACTGTATATAAGCACTTTAACAATAGCACTGTATATAAGCACTTTAACAATAGCACTGTATATAAGCACTTTAACAACATCACTGTATATAAGCACTTTAACAATAGCACTTTATATAAGCACTTTAACAATAGCACTGTATATAAGCACTTTAACGTAAGAAGGTCAGAGGAGATAGAAAGACAAGCTAAATATAAGTACTGTATATGAGACCAAACTGAACAAATCCAAAGCCCAGATGACCCTGAGATGACGAGAAACATTGGTCAGACTCACCTCTGTTTTGGCACAGATCTGCTGGGACTGGGACTCTGAGACATTTATTCTTACTTCATAGAAAACCCAGGAAAAATCCATTTCTCACGTTTTTCACCGCGGTAAAGTGGCCCGGAATTTCGCCACGCATTACAAGGTTGTTATTTTTTTGCGGTTCCAGACAGATGTTGTTTTTAGCTTTTTTGTCAAATATGTCTCTTTGAACCTGCTCTATACTCTTGGTCCTTCTATACTTTTGGTTCTTCTATACTCCTGGTCCTTCTATACTCTTGGTTCTTCTATACTCTTGGTCCTTCTATACTCTTGGTTCTTCTATACTCTTGGTTCTTCTATACTCTTGGTCCTTCTATACTCTTCAGTCCTTCTATACTCTTGGTTCTTCTATACTCTTGGTCCTTCTATACTCTTGGTTCTTCTATACTCTTGGTACTTCTATACTCTTGGTCCTTCTATACTCTTGGTCCTTTTATACTCTTGGTCCTTCTATACTCTTGGTTCTTCTATACTCTTGGTCCTTCTATACTCTTTGGTTCTTCTATACTCCTGGTCCTTCTATACTCTTGGTTCTTCTATACTCTTGGTCCTTCTATACTCTTGGTTCTTCTATACTCTTGGTTCTTCTATACTCTTGGTTCTTCTATACTCTTGGTTCTTCTATACTCCTGGTCCTTCTATACTCTTGGTTCTTCTATACTCTTGGTTCTTCTATACTCCTGGTCCTTCTATACTCTTGGTTCTTCTATACTCTTGGTTCTTCTATACTCCTGGTCCTTCTATACTCTTGGTACTTCTATACTCTTGGTCCTTCTATACTCTTGGTCCTTTTATACTCTTGGTCCTTCTATACTCTTGGTTCTTCTATACTCTTGGTCCTTCTATACTCTTGGTTCTTCTATACTCTTGGTCCTTCGATACTCTTGGTCCTTCTATACTCCTGGTCCTTCTATACTCTTGGTTCTTCTATACTCTTGGTCCTTCTATACTCTTGGTTCTTCTATACTCTTGGTTCTTCTATACTCTTGGTTCTTCTATACTCTTGGTCCTTCTATACTCTTTAGACCTTCTATACTCTTGGGTCTTCTATACTCTTGGTCCTTCTATACTCTTGGTTCTTCTATACTCTTGGTCCTTCTATACTCTTGGTCCTTCTATACTCTTGGTCCTTCTATACTCTTGGTCCTTCTATACTCTTGGTTCTTCTTTACTCTTCGCCTGGTAGACCTGACTAAATCTTGCTCCCACAGTCTGTGGATGGGACTAGCATGAAGCTAAATCTGGTGTAGCCATCTTTGTAATGTAAACAAACGTCTTTCATTCATTCATGTGGGACAACATTGTATCATGGAGAAAAGATCGAAAAGAGAAACTGCTGGGACCGATGTAAACCCACTCAGTCCTGTTTAATCCAGTTTCAGTCTGGACCTGCTGAACCCGCTACAGTTTCCAGCTCACTGACATTTGTAACTGTAGAAACCAACATCTGTGCACATTTGAATAAACACAGCCTCTCTTCACCTCCTCCCACGCCACGTCCAAATTAGCTTTAGCATAACACCAGCAGGAAGCCTTTGACTGGAGCATTGGCAGTCGCGCGGCTAAGCATTTTATAGGATTAGCCGAGCGAGAGAGCGCGATGCCAGGAGAGAGCGCTGGAATGATAGCGTGTTGCATAAGAGGCGCTGAGGCTTTTATTACTACAGCTTTTATTGTTTGTGCCTCAGAAGTCCCGGGTTTTACATAATTAGACCAACGACATTTAAGAGTGACTTCTTGGTTCTTCTAAGAGCTCCTCCCCTTGTGGTTGGTCACATGGTTCTTACCTGATGGTGTTGGACTGAGTTCTCCACAACATTTATCTGGGACTTCTGAGAATGCTGTCGGTAAAGGAGGCGCAGGCAGCAGAATACTTGAAGCTGATTGGGCGAAGTGATCCTGTTCTCCAGCCTTGTCATCGCTGTGCGCCCGGAGAAACCACAACAAGTCTTTGAACGACTTTTGCTGTTTTTCTAACTCGAATTTGTGAAGTAAAGAAACAACAGATTCTGGTAAAACTGACCTACAGTATAGCCTCAGCTACGTCCTCCTCATGGTCCTGCTCATGGTCCTGGTCCCGCTCATGGTCCTGCTCATGGTCCTGCTTATGGTCCTGCTCATGGTCCTGCTCATGGCCCTGTTCATGGTCCTGCTCATGGTCCTGCTCATGGTCCTGCTCATGGTCCTGTTCATGGTCCTGCTCATGGTCCTGCTCATGGTCATGGAGCTTTCGCGAAAGTTCACCGTGGTGGCTGGCTGAACATGCGCATGTTCTCAGTTCGCTCAAAGATTCCTCTGCTGCGGCTGGCTGAGCATGCGCGTGCGCGCATGCTCTCAGTTCGCTCAAAGATTCCTCTGCTGCGGCTGGCTGAACATGCGCGTGCGCGCATGTTCTCAGTTCGCTCAAAGATTCCTCTGCTGCGGCTGGCTGAACATGCGCGCGTGCGCATGTTCTCAGCTCGCTCATGCTCTCAGGCCCGCGCAGTACGTCCTGCTATCCCAATCGCAGGCCCGCTTTTTGGGGATCATGCACGCGAGCAAGCGCCGTGCTCAACAGCATCCCGCCCGGGCCTAGGGCGCCAAACATGCTCAATCAATAAACATGCTTAAATCTAATAAGTCTAATGCGTTTTCCTCATGGGTCTCTCCAAGGTGAAATGGAGCTTTCGCGAAAGTTCACCGTGGTAGACCCGGCTGTTGCTGCCAGGCCACAGGCTGCTCTTCCTCGACTCATCAATACCAGCAACGCCCACACCCAGTCAACCAATAACCACCAGGACAGCAAGTTAAAAGCCGGAGACGCCCACTTCCCGATCTTCTGAAGTCTGCAAGCCGCCGCCGCCCCACCTCCTCCTTCTCGCATGAAGCGTGTTGCCTACTGCCTCTGCCGTCACCAGTGCCTAGGCCCCGGGGGGATCATGCACGCGAGCAAGCGCCGTGCTCAACAGCATCCCGCCCGGGCCTAGGGCGCCAAACATGCTCAATCAATAAACATGCTTAAATCTAATAAGTCTAATGCGTTTTCCTCATGGGTCTCTCCAAGGTGAACTGTTCATGGTCCTGCTCATGGTCCTGCTCATGGTCCTGCTCATGGCCCTGTTCATGGTCCTGCTCATGGCCCTGTTCATGGTCCTGCTCATGGCCCTGTTCATGGTCCTGCTCATGGTCCTGCTCATGGTCCTGCTCATGGTCCTGCTCATGGCCCTGTTCATGGTCCTGCTCATGGCCCTGTTCATGGTCCTGCTCATGGCCCTGCTCATGGTCCTGCTCATGGTCCTGTTCATGGTCCTGCTCATGGCCCTGCTCATGGTCCTGATCATGGTCCTGCTCATGGCCCTGTTCATGGTCCTGCTCATGGTCATGTTCATGGTCCTGCTCATGGTCCTGCTCTATGCTAACCCTAAACTTCAAGGCTGATCCACTTTAGAGTAGAACCCTCATGTTCTGCTCTAAAGTGTAGGCGAGAGGTTTTTTACCTGAGTTTTACTAATGCACTCGATACAACTCTGTGGGAAAGAAATATTTACATAAAAGGGAGAGAGACCAGAGAGAGAGACCAGAGAGAGAGACCAGAGAGAGAGACCAGAGAGAGACCGGAGAGAGAGACCAGAGAGAGAGACCGGAGAGAGAGACTGGAGAGAGACCGGAGAGAGACCAGAGAGAGAGACCGGAGAGAGAGACCATAGAGAGAGACCAGAGAGAGAGACCAGAGAGAGACCAGAGAGAGACCAGAGAGAGAGACCAGAGAGAGAGACCAGAGAGAGAGACCGGAGAGAGAGACCAGAGAGAGAGACCAGAGAGAGAGACCAGAGAGAGACACCAGAGAGAGAGACCAGAGAGAGACACCAGAGAGAGAGACCGGAGAGAGAGACCAGAGAGAGAGACCGGAGAGAGAGACTGGAGAGAGACCGGAGAGAGACCAGAGAGAGAGACCGGAGAGAGAGACCATAGAGAGAGACCAGAGAGAGACCAGAGAGAGACCAGAGAGAGAGACCAGAGAGAGAGACCAGAGAGAGAGACCGGAGAGAGACACCAGAGAGAGACACCAGAGAGAGACCAGAGAGAGAGACCAGAGAGAGAGACTGGAGAGAGACCGGAGAGAGACCAGAGAGAGAGACCGGAGAGAGAGACCATAGAGAGAGACCAGAGAGAGACCAGAGAGAGACCAGAGAGAGAGACCAGAGAGAGAGACCAGAGAGAGACCGGAGAGAGAGACCAGAGAGAGAGACCAGAGAGAGACACCAGAGAGAGAGACCAGAGAGAGACACCAGAGAGAGAGACCAGAGAGAGAGACCAGAGAGAGAGACCAGAGAGAGACACCAGAGAGAGACCGGAGAGAGAGACCAGAGAGAGAGACCGGAGAGAGAGACTGGAGAGAGACCGGAGAGAGACCAGAGAGAGAGACCGGAGAGAGAGACCATAGAGAGAGACCAGAGAGAGACCAGAGAGAGACCAGAGAGAGAGACCAGAGAGAGAGACCAGAGAGAGAGACCAGAGAGAGAGACCGGAGAGAGACACCAGAGAGAGACCAGAGAGAGAGACCAGAGAGAGAGACTGGAGAGAGACCAGAGAGAGAGACCGGAGAGAGAGACCAGAGAGAGACCAGAGAGAGAGACCGGAGAGAGACCAGAGAGAGAGACCGGAGAGAGACCAGAGAGAGAGACCAGAGAGAGACCAGAGAGAGAGACCAGAGGGAGACCAGAGAGAGAGACCAGAGAGAGAGCAGAGAAAGAGACCTTCTCTTTCCTTCTCTCTCTAACTCTCTAACTCTAACTTCTCTAACTTTAACTCTAACTCTACCTTCTCTCTCCCTCAGCGCTCCTTCTGCAGCGCCATGATGGACGAGTTGCGGGTCTCGTTAAAGTGCCAGCGGCGCCTGAAGCAGAAGCCGCCGCCTCCGGTCATCGTGAAGACGGAGGAGGTCATCAACATGCACACCTTCAACGACCGCAGACTCCCAGGCAAAGAGACCATGGCATGACCCCGGGCCCCGCCTCCTCTGGCCCCGCCTCCTCCGGGCCCCGCCTCCTCTGGGCCCCGCCTCCTCTGGGGACCCTCGCCAGATGTTTCCTGTGGAAATATGGAAGTGCGATGATGTCACGTCTACGGACCATCGAGGAAAGCAAGACTGAGCTGTGTCCATTCTGAGGGTTTCAGTGTGTTCTGCGTCGTGTGTGAGCGGGTCGGGCGTAGAACCGGCGGCTCTGTCAGAAACGTGGGTCGTAAAGAGAGGGCCTGGTCGGGTTCTTGTTTGTTCTGGTGAAGGTGCGACGATGGGAGACGCTCAGCCCGGTCCCAATGTCCACTTTGGGAACGATGGTTTTACTGGTGTCAAACCCACTACTGCTCAGAGGATCAACGTTCTAAAGTCTATAACGTTTTTCTGAATGATAGGATCCAGGACTGTTGCCGTAGAAACTGTTTACTTCAAAACATATGAGAAAAGGAGGAACTCAGCGGCACTTCTGAAAGTACAAACAAAACTACATTAGTCTTTTCTCCATGTTCCACAGTCTAAAACCTGTCAAACTACAGCCATTTCTCGCTCCTTCCTCCCAACCTCACCCGCCTCCCCCCAGCCTCACCCGCCACCCCTATCCTCACCCGCCTTCCCCTAGCCTTACCCCCCCACCCTCACCCGCCTTCTCCCAGACTCACCCGTCTCCCCCCAGCCTCACCCGCCTTCCCCTAGCCTTACCCCCCCACCCTCACCCGCCTCCCCCCAGCCTCACCCGTCTCCCCCCAGCCTCACCCGCCACCCTCATCCTCACCCGCCTTCCCCTAGCTTTACCCTCCCACCCTCACCCGCCTTCTTCCACCCTCACCCGCCTCCCCCCAACCTCACCCACCACCCTAACCCGCCTTCCCCCACCCTCACCCGCCTGGACGGACACATGGTATTAGACTGACGAGCCGACTGGAAGTGGACATTTGGACACATGGTATTAGACTGACGAGCCGACAGGAATTGGACATTTGGACACATGGTATTAGACTGACGAGCCGACAGGAAGTGGACATTTGGACACATGGTATCAGACTGACGAGCCGACAGGAAGTGGACATTTGGACACATGGTATTAGACTGACGAGCCGACAGGAAGTGGACATTTGGACACATGGTATTAGACTGACGAGCCGACAGGAAGTGGACATTTGGACACATGGTATTAGACTGACGAGCCGACAGGAAGTGGACATTTGGACACATGGTATTAGACTGACGAGCCGACAGGAAGTGGACATTTGGACACATGGTATTAGACTGACGAGCCGACAGGAAGTGGACATTTGGACACATGGTATTACACTGACGAGCCGACAGGAAGTGGACATTTGACACATGGTATTAGACTGACGAGCCGACAGGAAGTGGACATTTGGACACATGGTATTACACTGACGAGCCGACAGGAAGTGGACATTTGACACATGGTATTAGACTGACGAGCCAACAGGAAGTGGACATTTGGACACATGGTATTAGACTGACGAGCCAACAGGAAGTGGACATTTGGACACATGGTATTAGACTGACGAGCCGACAGGAAGTGGACATTTGGACACATGCTATTAGACTGACGAGCCGACAGGAAGTGGATATTTGACACATGGTATTAGACTGACGAGCCGACAGGAAGTGGACATTTGGACACATGGTATTAGACTGACGAGCCGACAGGAAGTGGACATTTGGACAAATGGTATTAGACTGACGAGCCGACAGGAAGTGGACATTTGGACAAATGGTATTAGACTGACGAGCCGACAGGAAGTGGACATTTGGACACATGGTATTAGACTGACGAGCCGACAGGAAGTGGACATTTGGACACATGGTATTAGACTGACGAGCCGACAGGAAGTGGACTCTTGGACACATGGTATTAGACTGACGAGCCAACAGGAAGTGGACATTTGGACACATGGTATTAGACTGACGAGCCGACAGGAAGTGGACATTTGGACAAATGGTATTAGACTGACGAGCCGACAGGAAGTGGACATTTGGACACATGGTATTAGACTGACGAGCCGACAGGAAGTGGACATTTGGACACATGTTATTAGACTGACGAGCCGACAGGAAGTGGACATTTGACACATGGTATTAGACTGACGAGCCGACAGGAAGTGGACATTTGGACACATGGTATTAGACTGACGAGCCGACAGGAAGTGGACATTAGGACACATGGTATTAGACTGACGAGCCGACAGGAAGTGGACACTTGGACACATGGTATTAGACTGACGAGCCGACAGGAAGTGGACATTTGGACACATGGTATTAGACTGACAAGCCGACAGGAAGTGGACATTTGGACACATGGTATTAGACTGACGAGCCGACAGGAAGTGGACATTTGACACATGGTATTAGACTGACGAGCCGACAGGAAGTGGACATTTGGACACATGGTATTAGACTGACGAGCCGACAGGAAGTGGACATTTGGACACATGGTATTAGACTGACGAGCCGACAGGAAGTGGACATTTGACACATGGTATTAGACTGACGAGCCGACAGGAAGTGGACATTTGGACACATGGTATTAGACTGACGAGCCGACAGGAAGTGGACATTTGGACACATGGTATTAGACTGACGAGCCGACAGGAAGTGGACATTTGGACACATGGTATTAGACTGACGAGCCGACAGGAAGTGGACATTTGGACACATGGTATGAGACAGACGAGCCGACAGGAAGTGGACATTTGGACACATGGTATTAGACTGACGAGCCGACAGGAAGTGGACATTTGGACACATGGTATGAGACAGACGAGCCGACAGGAAGTGGACATTTGGACACAGCTCCAACCCAAACTCTTAGCATCAGCTTTGAACACTCATATGATTGAGCTTTGGGTAGAGCTGCTACTCCCCAACGTCAGGACCAGAAGTTGGACAAGTTATGGATCATCTTCACTGGTTTTGGCATCATGTTGTTTTCGCCCATGGTTTCTGTAAAGCCTCAGTCATACCATCGAACCAAACTCCAGGTTTCAACTATTTATATCATTGTTTTGTTCAAGAACAAGTCAGTTTGTAGAACTTTGGATCCAGGTAGTTCTCTCTCTCTCTCTCTGTCTCTGTCTCTCACTGTCTGTCTCTCTCTCTCTGTCTCTGTCTCTCTGTCTCTGTCTCTCACTGTCTGTCTCTGTCTCTCACTGTCTGTCTCTCTCTCTCTGTCTCTCACTGTCTGTCTCTCTCTCTCTCTCTCTCTCTCTCTCTGTCTCTCACTGTCTGTCTCTGTCTCTCACTGTCTGTCTCTCTCTCTCTCTCTCTCTGTCTCTCACTGTCTGTCTCTGTCTCTCACTGTCTGTCTCTCTCTCTCTGTCTCTGTCTCTCACTGTCTGTCTCTCTCTCTCTCTCTCTCTGTCTCTCACTGTCTGTCTCTGTCTCTCACTGTCTGTCTCTGTCTCTCACTGTCTGTCTCTCTCTCTCTGTCTCTGTCTCTCACTGTCTGTCTCTCTCTCTCTCTCTCTCTGTCTCTCACTGTCTGTCTCTGTCTCTCACTGTCTGTCTCTCTCTCTCTCTCTCTGTCTCTCTCTCTCTCTCTCTGTCTCTCACTGTCTGTCTCTGTCTCTCACTGTCTGTCTCTCTCTCTCTCTCTCTGTCTCTCACTGTCTGTCTCTGTCTCTCACTGTCTGTCTCTGTCTCTCTCTGTCTGTTTCTCTCTCTCTGTCTCTCTCTCTCTGTGTCTCTCTCTGTCTGTCTCTCTCTCTCTCTCTGTCTCTCACTGTCTGTCTCTCTCTCTCTCTGTCTCTCACTGTGTCTCTGTCTCTCTCTCTCTCTCTCTGTCTCTCTCTCTCTCTCTCTCTCTCTCTCTCTCTCTGTCTCTCACTGTCTGTCTCTGTCTCTCACTGTCTGTCTCTCTCTCTCTCTCTGTCTCTGTCTCTCTCTCTCTCTCTCTCTCTCTCTCTCTCTCTGTCTCTCAATGTCTGTCTCTCTCTCTCACAAATGTAGCAGAAGTCAATCACCACCTGGACGCATTTACATCTGGGGACCAAATAAAGCAACATTTCAACCAGCTCTACTCTACTCTACTCTACTCTACTCTACTCTACTCTACTGTAAATTCCTGGGCCACCTTTCATGAACTGCAATATTGGCTTTTGCTTTCACATCTGGATTTAAAGAAACACTTCCTTTCTGCTCCTTTAGATTTGCCACGGGTTCGATTCAAAACCTTTCAATATTAATTGTGTGTAAAATCGAATGTCCGTCCATCCGAGGAGCAGCAGCTCTACTCCGAGCTCCTCTTGTGTGACTGAGCTCCTCTCTATCTAAGTCCAGACACTCTGAAGGTAGTTCATTTCAACCTTTTGTATCCACGATCTCGAGAGCAGAGGGAGAGAAAGATCAGAGAGAGATCAGAGCGAGAGAGACCAGAGAGAGAGACCAGAGAGAGAGACTAGAGAGAGAAAGACCAGAGAGACCAGAGAGAGACCAGAGAGAGACCAGAGAGAGAGACTAGAGAGAGACCAGAGAGAGAGACCAGAGAGAGAGACTAGAGAAAGAAAGACCAGAGAGACCAGAGAGAGAGACTTGAGAGAGACCAGAGAGAGAGACCAGAGAGAGAGACCAGAGAGAGAGACTTGAGAGAGAGACCGGAGAGAGACCAGAAAGACTAGAGAGAGACCAGAGAGAGACCAGAAAGACTAGAGAGAGACCAGAGAGAGACCAGCGAAAGGACTAGTGAGAGACCAGAGCGAGGGAGGGAATGGAGAGCTCTGACTGCAGACACTGCTCCCTCTTCACCACAACAGTCCATCCTCCATCACTGATATGACTAAATGAGGGAACTCCTGAACCAGCAAAAATAACCAGACTTTTCTTTCTGCTCCATGTTTAAAGGAGCAGTGTGTAAACATGTGGCCAAAAGTGGTACTGCAGCCTCTCCCACTCTCCCTGACTCAGGTTGCCAGATATGCAGACGAATCCAGCTGGGACCATAACAGCTGAATAGACCAGAGTTTTGTCAACAACAAATCTATAACCAACACCTTTTTCACAAAGATAGAAATCCTGCTTTTATTCCTTGTTTTGTCGTTAATGATTTGAGAATCAAAACGAGACCTTTTTTTAGTTCTGCGCCACATGGTACTTTACCAGTGAGATTAGCTCCACATGGTACTTTACCAGTGAGATTAGCTCCACGCGGTGAGTTCTGGCGCCCGGATCACAGACTTTCTGATTGGTGAAACGGTGGAGGGCGGGACATCGAAATGAAAACAATAACAAGATTTAGGGGCTGGAAAAGTGATTTAGAAATTCAAATATCTCTGAACTACTGTTAAAGAGAAGTTTATTATTATGACAGATTAGGGCCCTTTGATGATGACAGATTAGGGCCCTTTAATGAGGACAGATTAGGGCCCTTTAATGATGACAGATTAGGGCCCTTTAATGATGACAGATTAGGGCCCTTTAATGATGACAGATTAGGGCCCTTTAATGATGACAGATTAGGGCCCTTTAATGATGACTAGTCCCATAATCTCCACAGTCCGAGCAGATACCACTGACTTTCTCATGATGTCATAGTCGTATGGTGTTGCCTTATTATTATGTTTATTTTTTATATCATGTGCCAATAAAAAAATCATCTATAAACCACAGACTCGCTTCATTTGATTAAAAATATATACTTTTGTTTAAAAGTTTAAAGATCTGCTTTAATCCTGGATTAGAACCAGACTGTGTATAGACCTTCAAAGACATACTTCCTTTGATAATTGAGCCTATCGTAAATATAATAAACGCATCCATACAATGTGGCTATGTCCCACAAGCTTTTAAAACCGCGGTAATCAAACCCCTTCTGAAGAAAACAAACCTGGACCCAGAAATACTTACAAACTACAGACCGATCTCAAACCTCACTTTT